GTGCAATAAATAATAGTAAAATCTTAGGAAAAATTAAATCATTACAACTATGAAGTCAAACTCTTTCTAAGCAAACCATGCATAGCAAAAATTTATGGAAACCTTTGTCACCTTTATAGTTAGAACCAGATACTAAAAAGAAAAGCAGTAAGACTACATCAGTCATATTGTTTTCAAGAAAATGTTTGGTTTGCCTTTACAAAGCGTAATGTTTTTAATATTTTTAAAGAGAATCAGTAGGCAAATGGATGAAAACCATAGGCTAAATCCTAGTTACATTGAAATCAGTGGTAAAATCCCTCCAACTTCAATGACTCTACATCAGGGATCAGTAACCTTTGGCACCTGGCCCATCAGGGAAAGCCCCTGGCGGGCCGGGCCGGTTTGTTTACCTGCCACGTCTGCAGGTTTGGCCGATCATGGCTCCCACTGGCCGCTGTTCGCTGTCCCAGGCCAATGGGGGCTGCGGGAAGGGCAGCCAGCACATCCCTCGGCCTGCACCGCTTCCCGCAGCCCCCATTGGCCTGGAGCTGCAAACCGCGGCCAATGGGAGCTGCAATCGGCCGAACCTGCGGACGCGGCAGGTAAACAAACCAGCCCGGTCCAGCCCACCAGGGTGCTTATCCTGGAGAGCTGCGTGCCAAAGGTTGCTGATCCCTGCTCTACATAGTGATATGTGAAATGACTAATCTCAGTATATAGTACTGTTCTGATGTTAGGTATTGCAAATGCCTAAGGTGAGTGGGATGGCATATACCATATGGTATAATGCCTTAGCACAGTGGGATTAGTTCAAGTGTGGTTCTTCTCTGACAAGTGACTGAAAAAATGGCATTGATGGCTTCCATGTTCATTGTGTCTCAGTTTCCAGATCAACCTTTCGCTGTTTAAAAAGATGTTTTTTTTCTAACTATGTATTCAACCTAGGATCTGAAAGTCACGCCTCTGGGTTCTTTGTGACTTCTTATCACCAGTAATAGATTTTCTTGGGCCACACTCTACTTTCAGTTACAGCACTTGAAATGCCATTGTTTTTATGGGGTTTGCTCAAGTGTGTAACTGAGGAGCATATTTCAGTCCTGCAATTAGAATTGCGTTAATTCTTTGGTGCCCAATCAAGAATAGCATCCAGCTCGTTCTCCGGTAGCTGTACTAGCCCCGCAGTGCTAACAGGAGCAAAAAGAGGAACCAAAATTTATTGTTGACAGTAAAAAGATCTGACTCTGGGTAGGCCTACTCAGCAAAAGCTGTGCAAGGGCTAACCTTGAGCTAGCTTGAATCCCGCTAGCCTGTTAACATAACAGTAGTGGGCTTCAGCGCAGACTAGCAAGGTGAGTACCCACCCAGGGTCTCTGCCGAACTTGTACCTGTGCTGAAGCCTGTACTGTGCTCTCTTCACTGCTACTGTTACCTGTGCTAGCTGGATTTAAGCTAGCACGGGAGGCTAGCCCATGCACGGCTTTTGTTGCAGACACACCTCTGAATATACACAGTGAGTTAGATATATGGAATAAGAAGCTGCCATTTTTATACACACATGCTCTGAAAGTAGAACCATGTGTTAAACCCAGAGAGCCCTATAGTGCCAGACTATTAGCCTTTAACTCTGAATTCCTTTCTTGTGGTTTTGGTTTTGGTCACAAGCGCAATGTTACTTAAACATAGTTTGTGTGTGTTTAACTCAAATTACAATCCAACTAAATTATTTTATTGTGGTGTGGCCTTCATTAACTTCTCAGTTTCTTTCGTATCAGTAGAAGCTAGATTTTATAAAACTGACTACTACTTTGCAGTACTGATTTAAATGTGAAGTGGAGATAGATGACGTGTAGTTTAAATCTTAACCTACTTTTCATATGAGACAAACTAGTGGATTAGAATCTGCCTTCATTACCAAGATTGAGACTATACCAGGTATCTTCAAGTAATTATCAGCATCTCAAGGTTTAAGTATAGGGCCTTGTCTGCACTGCAAAATTTTGTATCAGTTTTCCAGCACTGATGGAGTTCTCTGAGCTTGAAAGAGAGGGAGCAGTGGCCCTAGTGCTGGAAACACATATGAAGTTGAGTAGTGCAGATGCATCCAAGCTGTGCATGCTACATTTATTTTATGTTCTTAATCACATAACAGATATATTTGTCAGAATTATTCATATATGCTCCTGTAAAACATACTTTTGCTACCATTGACCGATAAGGGGCTCATGAATGATTACAGCTCCAGGAACAGCTTAAAATTCCATTGCCTTAGTAGATCCTCTCTGGAACTGGGTTTAAAAAAAAATTCTAACAAAATAATGCATTTTTAGATTTTAAAAAATTCCTGTATGGGAGTTAGGCAAAAATTTTCAAACATGCTTGCTCAGTTAGACATGTAATTTCATACTTTGATAGAATTTTAATAAAATATTTACTTAAACATAATTTAGGTATCTAATTTTAGGCACACAGGCTTGAAAAGTATCAGCTTTAGTTTTCTGCATATTTGGTTTGAAGTTGAAACTTAAAAAAAAGCTCTCTTAAAATAGACATAAGGATACCTGCAGAATGTGTCTTCTCCTGCCACAAATAAGAGGGCCAATAATATCAACCGCATTTATTGATGCCTCATGGAAAACTTTGAGACCTATTTTATTTAGAAACAAGTCTACTGATGCTAGATTGTATTTCTCTTCCATTGTTCAGAGAATTAGGACATCGTGTGAAGGAAAAACCAGCAAGGAGTAAATGAATCATAAATTCCTGTTTTATACAGATGTCCATAGTACTGAAGGAGAAGAAAAAAAGAGACCATATCAGTATTGTTTCTAAATAAAACGTTTCCAAGGAAGCACCAGCTGCTCTTTAAAATGTCCTTTAACAGCATTAACTTATCAGATGTAGTAGGTCATATTGAGATGTATTTGTTGTTATTGGTTGCTTTAGTTGTTTGGAGAAGAAAAGGTTTGTTCCATAAATTTAAGTGCTTTAATTCTAGATTGAATCAGAATTTTAATCTGCTGCTTGAAGAGTTTAGGTTTGTCCCAACGAATTGGAAAAGAACAGTAACATGAAATCATTCCAATAGATGAGTTCCCTCAAGCCATACAAACTAGGTTTAATGAAAGAAGGATATAAGCCTTGAAGAACACTGTGCAAGCAGCATATTCTCCATTTGAATCCCATTATGTCATCACCTTCAGTATTATTGAAAACTGGGAAAGAGCCACAGATCTATTTTATTTTTTGCACGACAACCACCTTCGGGTAATGACTCTTCCAGGAAACAAAGAGGTAGTGACTTGGGCCCTGATGTTGCAATTTGATCTGTGCAGATTCCACCTCCATCTGGATGTGTTAGCACAGTGGTTTTCAACTAGGGTGACCAGACAGCAAGTGTGAAAAATCGGGACTGGGTGGGGGGTAATAGGATCCTATACAAGAAAAAGACCCCCAAATTGGGACTGTCCCTATAAAATCGGGACATCTGGTCACCCTATTTTCAACCTATGGTCTATGGACCCCTGGAGGGCTGCAGACTGTCTAAGGGGTCCATGAAAGGGTGTCGTTATCATAGAACTGTGGTTTTTAACCTGGGGTCTGCAGACTATGTCAAAGATTTCCAAAGGGATCCACACCTCCATTCAAAAATTTTCAGTTGTGAACCCCTAAAAAAAGTTGAAAACCACTGTGGAAACAGAATCCAGGTCTTAATTCACATGCTTCTATTCCTAGCCAGAGCAATATAACCTACTACTCTGAGGTTTGTATGTTACTGACACGCCCTATTTAACAGCTTTGTGTGTAATTACTTTATTGATAGCGTGGAGCTGGAAGGATTGATAACATGGCCTCAATCAGCACACTGTTGAAGCTTACTCATAGAAACTTTGCTGCTGTTTTTTTCATTAAATACAAATAAGGTAATTGCTGAGTTTGAATTTAACAAATAGAATTTTGTTAATGTAACTACTAGTTTTATTCAGTAGAAGTTTGTATTTATATGCTTGAGGTAGTTTACCTCAGAAGTGGGGGACTATAATAATCTTTAAACATGTACACTTTTGGATTTGAAAGCAAATAAAATGGAGTATATACGTGTAAGAAGAGATATATGAGAGAGCTACAGCTCTGTACAGATTGATGTTTGCTATAGCAGGTGTTTAAAAGGCTGTAGACATGTTGAAGCAGGGTTTGTTGATGTCAGCTGTGAGACTTTGCAGGCAGCTTGTGGTATGGTCATTTACGATGCAGTCTGCATTGCTGTTGTGGTTTCATGATTTTTGCACTTTTTTCACATTCAGTATTAAACAATGAAAAAGACTGTGTATATGCTTCTTTCTCCTCCTTCCCCTTGCCCCCTGGTTGGTATTTATAAATCTTCATTAGCAAAGGAAAAAGAAATCCAAGTTTTCATGTCTCATGCTTTGAGGCATCTCTGTATGTTCAGATCCATGAGCCCCTTTCAGTTCAAAGAACACATTCTTTCATTCCAGATTATGAAGTGCTTGTATCACTGTGGTGGCAGGGACAGAGTAAAAACACAGCAACTAGTTATTCCTTGACTCATTTAACCAGCATGGTTGGAGTGGCTGAGGTGCCTTCTTAGCAGCAGGGTCCAGAAGGGACAGGGCATTTATAAACCCGAAGTGGTTGGAGTGGACAGGAGAACCATAGTTTTCCTGCTGCTCTAAGATTTGGTTGAATTATGCCATTCTGTCCTGGGGTCTGCTCAGGGCTAGTGCAGCTCCTCCTGGTTGCTCTGGGGACTAGCTGATTCCAGGTCCAATGCCTCCTTTCTGCCTCTCACCGCATGCCCTGCCTTTCTTCCTGGATCTCAGTGAGGCAAGATGCTGCGTGGTTGTGGTTTAGCTCTCTGGCCAAGTCACATGTGTCCTTCCTTTATCTCATAGAACTGGAAGGGACCCCGAAAGGTCATAGAGTCCAGCCCCCTGCCTTCACTAGCAGGACCAATTACTGATTTTGCCCCAGATCCCTAAGTGGCCCCCTCAGGGATTGAACTCACAACCCTGGGTTTAGCAGGCCAATGCTCAAACCATAAAGAAAATATGTAGTGGTCATTTATGACATGAAGGAGGAAAATTTAGCTAGAGACACCAGCCAGCTTTGCTGAGTCTAAGTTAAGAAAAATATAAAGCTCTTCAGTTCTTGCAAAAGAAGAGGATTGGTGCTTTCTGGTAAATGGTGACATGGAAGTGGTCGAATAGTCTCACTGAAACCAAAGACTCAGACCAGAAGCATGTTTTCGGCCTTCATTTTATAATTAAGGGACATTATTCCCTAAACTGTTAATTGAGGTTTTAGTCTCCTCTTCTGAGTGACTCTCCCTAAAGGTACTGTGAATCAGAGCTGTAACCCCAGGCATCTCTCTGAATAATGAGATGGCCATCACTTTGGGTTGTTTTTTTCAGCACATTCTTTAAGCTCTTAATTTAGGGTGACCAGATATCCCAATTTTATAGGGACAGTCCAGAGTTTTTGGGTCTTTTTCTTATATAGGCTCCTATTATTCCTCACCCCCTGTCCCGGTTTTTCACACTTGCTGTTTGGTCACCCTATCTTAATTCCTAGATTTAACATGGTTCTCAGTTATGCTAACATCAAATGATTCCATGGAAACTACTCTTTTCATAAAGTACTGAACTCTTGAAGGTAACACCTTACCAGAGATACACACATCTTTATATCCAAAATTCTTTTTAAATGGTCCAAAAATTACCAGGGATGAACCTGTATTCTTCCTGCAGCATAAAAATCCCTACAGCCAAATATGAGAACAGATGTAAGCACTGAACCCCCACAACCACTAGATTAGAAAGTGAAATCTTTAAACGATATGATCTGCAATTATTCATGCAAGTTCATTGTGTAGCTGACCCTATTGATCCAGTTTTTCCCTTCCGAATTGTGCTGTGGGTAGCAGCAGCTGGTACTTTTTCAGCCTGAAATCAAGCACACTTCAGCTATGGCATCATGTGCCAGCGGGAGGAAGAGTCCTGAGATCAAATGAACCCTAGATGTTCTTCACATGGCAGAACTTGCTTAAAGTTACACATATCTGATACAAAAGAAAGACTTCTTTAAAAACAAGAAAAAAATACCTCACCCTATTGTCAACTTTTTTGGGGGTGGGGTTATTTTCCTAACTCATACCCTATTGTGTTTAACAAACCAAACAAAAAGATTTTAACAGTTTTTGCACAATGCAGTTAATGGTGCATGGCTATCAAGGTAATAGGGTGCCTGTATGAATAGACCAAATAGAAAAAATTAAAATCCAGATTTGTTCAAGAAACTATAAGCGTGCAGTGCAGAAACAGCAATGCCTGCCTGAATCTTATTTTTGATGTAAATTTATGTTATTAGTGAGGCAGTTTTGTATTTCCAAACAGGAAAAAAAAATATTTTTCTTTCACAGAGAGAAAACTGAAGAGGCTGTTATTACATGATCTTAAAACGCTATGATCCAAGAGTATAAAAATTAAAAATAGCATTCACCTGTATTAATTTTTTTTCTGTATCCATTAAGGTAAGTAATCTATCCCCACGAAAGTTTGCTTTACATTCAGTATTTAATCCAATAACAAATTTCAGTTCTGCATGACAGATACTTGCAGATACAGGTTCAGTCTTCAGAAGTAAACATGAGAAACCTGTCATATATATATATATATATATATTGGCTTTGGGCCTTCCCACTATGGAGTACTGTTGCACAATAGTACAGTATGGTGGTCTTTTTTTATCTGATCGTCTCTGTTTTGCTGCTACATCTGGGGCCCTGAAAAAAGGAAGGGTGTTGTAAATCAAAGGTCATTGTCAAGTTCCACTATTCACCACTTAATTTACAAAATATGAATGATTAACAGCCCCTGTAAGCACTGCATATCTTGAAATACTCAGCTCATCCATAGAGCCAAACACTTTTTATAATTGGGAACTGATGCTTTCAATGGATTGTTGTTCTCCTAATCCTGGCTTTTACTTGATTTCTGTAATGGCTCAATTTGTCATTCTCTGAGAGAGAGGGGATGCTACACGATTACTTATGGCAACATCTTCTCAGTTAGTGACCGAGGAAGATGCTGAGCAACAGTTTTAGGACTGTGATGATGTAGATGATGTCTATTAGATGTAGGGACCTAATACGTGAACTACACTGCCAGTGTTGCTAATTCGTTTTTTGGAGTGGGGTGGGAATGAAGGTGAAAGGGAATCTATCCTCCTCTGAATTTTATTTGCTGCTCTGATTAATCTAAGCGGTGGTGGTGGCACATCTCAAAATCTCTGTAGGCCGTGGTCAGATCACTGCTGTGAAAGTCTGAAGAGTTATCCTTAAACCAGAGTGTTATATTCAACAAACTGTTGCCCTGTGAACTTTCCAACCGTGTGGGTCATCTTTCTTTTCCATCAGACATTTCTGTGAGCTCTACGGCCCAAATATCTCTGAGACGTGCAGAGAAACACAGAATGTAACAGCATATAAAAGGAAGATCAGCCAAGAAGATTGAAAACTCACTCACTTTGACAAGTCAATGGCCTCCTGGGTTACAACAGTCCTTTTGTTGTGGGTGCCATATAAGAGGGGCTGAAGATACAGGCACTGCAAAACATAATTTAATAAGATACCTAATACCATCAGAATCTGATCCAAAATATTTTGATCAAAAAAGCCAACCTAGGAAAAACAAACACATTTATTTATACCAATAAAGACAGATATCTTAAAGAAAATTTTAATCATATTACAAAATAATTAGCCATCAAATTAAATAAGAACAAGACTAATTTGTCATATCCCTGGGTTTCAGAAAGCCACTTCCACTGGAGCTGTGAAATGAAGAGGGAGGGTGGTGAAGATAACTATTTATATTTGCTATTGGATTACTAAGCACAAAATTATTTTTTAATTGTATAAACTGTGATTATATAGTGGTGTGTGTGTGTGTTATAGGGGTATTCATTTAGCCAACAATGAAAATAAGAGTTCACATTCACCTTAAAGAAAACCACTTGCATATGGTTGAGTGGAGAATTTAGCTCATGGTTTATGTTGCATTCTGTTCCTGGGAAAACAAATTGTATTTATGGCAAATTCTTACATAATTTAACAGGGGTGAAACTAATAGGGATCTACAGCAATTACTTTAAAACCCTAAAGAGTTTCCAGCCAAAACCAGGAACAACAGACTAAAATTTAAAAATAATCTGAATCAAACTGTTTTGTACCTAAAAATAAAAATTGCATTTGGTTTGCATGGTGGAGGGAAGGTTCTGGCTGGTTTTTATTTATTCTGTTCATTTGGTGCATCTCTAATCTGTATACAGTAATCTGAACTCATGTAGTCATTGGATTAGCCCTTGAAAATATTAAAACATTAATTAAAAAAAATGTGCATTGGAAATTCAGACAAATAGCTGTTTTCTTGCAGAACAGTGAGAAAAAACAAATTCTCACAAAAAATATGATTATTTATGTTTTCTGGTGGTACCCACCATGTGCTAGGTGCTGTACAAACACAAAAGATAGACTGGTCCCTGTGCCAAAGAGCTTACCATTTTTGTTTAGTCCTCTTAAGCAGAAGACAGAGGATAAGAGAAACAGGTACTTCCTGCTAACAGCAAGCTGTAATAACACAGTTGTTTTGTGTTTTAATAAGACACTGTCCAAAATTATCCTTAAAGTTTGTTGTTGTCAGCTAGCTAGTTACAAGCTGAAGTGGTTCTTCAGATATCCATGTTTTAAAGACTAATGATACTTCATACAAAAATAGATCTTGTTCCCTCAGGGGGAAGAAATCAGAATGCTTTCAGCCAGCTCTAAAGGTCTAAAGCTCTAAAGGTCAAGGTTTAATTTTAAATGCACCATATTTTTTTTAAAATGTATTTACAAGGACCTAACCTTCAAGTGGAGATCACAGAGACATTGCAAGTATGATCTTATGTTAACTGAATAACTGTAGCACTACAGTGTTTTTTTTAATTTTAATCATTCCCTGATCTAATTAATGTTTGAGAAGTCTGGACTAGAGTAAGAAAAAAAATCGGAACTATAAAAATAAATATCACACAAACATACATCTACTCACACACCGCTGGTAACACAGGGAATGTTCCTTCCTTCACTAATAAAACTAGCTGAAACACAGCTAAAGTGAGATGTTTTGAAAAGCTGAAGACCTCAATATGTCAGATAGGAAAGACTGAAACAGACACTTAGATCCTTCCCTCACCACCCACAGCTATGCCACTGGCTACAGGAATGTGCCATTAGTTACAAACCCAGAACACACAATGAAGTAAGGTTAATAAAAATAGTAGTGACATGTAATAATAACCTTAAAGATGTGGAACACTTTTGGCACTGACAAGCGTCATGGTAAAAGACACCAATGACACCAACAGATTGTTTCAAGCTACTGACATGGTAACTGTTTTTGGATTCAGCAGCCTAAAGCTAGTATTTCACTCAGTGAAGTTAGCATATTTTGTCAAAGACTTGGAATTAAAGGAAAATGGTCAACTTAAAAATCATACTTCTGTCTGCACTCTATTTTCTTCATCTCAGATAAAGTACCGTATACTAAAGGAAACTATGCCATAACACTATGCTGTAAATTGATGTATTGTAGGCACACATCCTACATTAAATATGATGAGAGCAAGTCCAAATAGTCATCTAAGATATCACGAACATCGGTCTTTACTAGTGTAATTTTTATAAATTTTCTGAGCTGAGAAACAATTAAACTTTATGGGTTCCTATAGCTTTTCTAAAGAGCTCTTCTCACTACACAATATAGCCAGTTTGGTGATTTAGCCTGTGCTTGTGTGAGATAAACAGCATATATTCTATTTGATATGGAATATGCATAGGAATAGTTTATGTTCTGTTCCTGTGATCAGTCAGTACTATGAAATTCTTATTTCTACAATAAATAAGTTGATGAATTTTATTGTAAATGGTGATTTATTAAGTGGGTTGGTCTAAGATTTAAAGCAGGGGTCGGCAACGTTCGGCACACGGCTTGCCAGGGTAAGCACCCTGGCGAGCCGCGTGCCAAACGTTGCCAACCTGATTTAAAGTATGATGCCTTGAAATAAATTCTTAGACTACATCTGACTTTATTAGACTCCATAGATCAGTGTTTCCCAAACTTGGGACGCTGATTGTGTAGGAAAAGCCCCTGGCGGGCCGGGCCGGTTTGTTTACCTGCCGCGCCCGCAGGTCTGGCCGATCACGGCTCCCACTGGCCACGGTTCGTTGCTCCAGGCGCATGGGAGATGCTGGAAGCGGCATGGGCCGAGGGACATACTGGCCGCCGCTTCCAGCAGCTCCCATGGGCCTGGAGCAGCGAACTGCGGCCAGTGGGAGCCACGATCGGCCGGACCTGCGGATGTGGCAGGTAAACAAACTGGCCCAGCCCGCCAGGGGCTTTCCCTACACAAGCGGCGTCCCAAGTTTGGGAAACACTTACCTAGATTATTAGCAAGTCTTATACAACATGCAAAAACTTGTTTAGAGCTTTATTTGCCTTAAGGTGAAAAAGGGACTTTATGATACAAAAATGTCTGACTCTCTCTTTTCAGCTGAAGTCCGACAGAGCCCTTCCATAGTTCTCAATTCAGGCTAGCTCCTTCACGTGATTATTGAATTATGTTACATTGTACTACATAATATAATCTCACCTTCTGATTTGTTTTTAGACCCATGTACCAGACAGACCCCTCAGCACAGGGAATGCTACATCTGGAAAAGCTTCTGTTTTAAATGGATTCCATGTAGTTAAGCTGGGAACTCTGCTGCTGCAGCTGCTGTTGTGATACAAACAGCAGAACACAGAACGCAGCGAAAGTAGCCCGCAACAACAAGCCCCACTAAGAGGCTGCTGGCCTCACACATTCCAAATACTAAATTGGGCAATTGCAAAGGTTCAGATTTAACTGTAGATGATTTTTGTTGTGAGTTGTCGCTATACCAGAATGGGGTCGTAACTATAGCCTGCATGTTGTCTGCTAGCTCATGTCTATAGTACCTTTTTTGATTAAAGATTAAAAAAGGAGAAGTACACAAAAGGAATGCAGAGTAAATTATAAGGGAGTTGGCACAGTCTAGCAGCTAAAATAGAGGATAGACTGTAAAGAGACTTTTGGGCAAATCACTCACCTCTGTCAGTTTCTCCATCTGTAACATGGAGGGAAAGGTACGTAACTACCTTTGTAAGTTGCTTTGAGATCCTCGGATGAAAGTCACTTTATGAGTGTGAAGTATTATTATCTAAAACCAGCCATTAGTTCTTGTTTCTTGAAAGGAATTTAACAGATTTATACCTTTTCATCCTTTGGACCTAATTTTCAGAAAGTTGAGGCCGATGGTGGGTGCCCATTTATGCACAGTCCGTGCACAGTCACAGAAATTGCACGCACTAATGAGTTATTTGCTCCTTTATGTACACAAATGGCTTGCGTATACTATGTAGATATGCAAATACACATAGACCATGGGCTTCAATTATTGGAAACCCAGCCCTTAATGTTTTAATGGGGCTGCTTTCACTAATTACTAAAGAATCCAAAGTGGAAAACATACATAAACCGGGTTTGGTAGTGAAACATTTCAAATGTAGGTTACCAGTTTAAATCTAGTCTGGGCTGTTAACACCTCTCTATTTGGTGGCCTATGTTAAATGAATTTGCCTTAGTCAAGTTTCTAGCAGAAAATGTTTACTTTATAGAAAACACTACTGTATGGCAGTTTTAGCAGTAAGGTCATTAACTGAATGGACACAGAGAGTGAGCTAACTTTTAGCTCTGAGCTGGGACACACTGGAAGAGCATTGTGGGAAGCTGATATTTCTACCGCCTGACTATATCTGCTCAGTGAATGAGGAGGTGATAATTTTCCATTGTTTTGAAACTGCAGCACCTTCACAAGCATGATATTTACTTACAATAATCAAACATTTTTAAATTGCCCATTGGATTTGAGAAATCGGTCTCTAAAAGTCGTATTGTTTAATATGTTGTTTTTTTTTCCAATCAGGCCAATAACAGCAAACCATTATCCAAGAGAGCACAGGAAAATATCCAGCTTCTGAGTATTGTGGTATGAAAGAATTATTCTGTTGTAACCTTGTATATTACTCTTTAAAATTAGAGTCAGCCTTAACCACACAATATTACAATTCCAGTTTCTTTAAGCTGCTAGAGGTTTCTATAACTAAATAAAATAGCTGAATGTGCTTTCACAAAGTCATAAGATATTTCTTTTAATGTCTATGAAAGGTATTTATAAGGTCATCTTATCTTAAGAGTAGGATTTATCATTAAAGTCGACAAGAACACTAATTCCTTACCCTTCTCCCTAAAAACAAAATTCATGGTATGTAAATCAATGTACTTCTTAAAGTTACATGTAATAAAACACATAGTGCCTGTTTTTAATGATCCTTCACTTGGCCTATTTTGTTCCTGCATTTTAACTACTGCAAATAACTACAGCTGCAACTGGTGTCACAAAATCCATCTAATTTGGGGGAACTGCTAGGTTGCTTAATGCTTTAAGGGACATCAATTGCATGTGCATGAATTTGTGCCTGGAAATGGCAGGGTGAAAACTGCATTTGTGAAATAAGAGGCCACCTTTTCTAGGTATGCATCGAGTATAGGGAAATCATTAAAAACACCTGCTTCGCTAGCATACATCCCAAAGCATGTTAATAGCGTATTTGGTTTTCCATGTTTGAAATGTATGTTCTGCACTACAAAACAACTACTAGTTTTTCCATCATCTATGAAATTTTCCTGTGAAATTTAGAAATGGGCAATGTGTTAAAATCATCCCATTAATTTTCTAACCCCAAACAGAACTGTTTCATAGAATCCTTTTTTGGGACATCTGCCTAAATTCTGAGGCGATAATGTCCTAGATATCAATGCCTTTTTCTTAGTATTGATTTTAATGCAGCATGGATGCTTCTTTAAACATTTGTAAAGAATGACTGAGTTTAATGCATTTAGGCCCTGATCCTGCAGTATTAAAGTAAATGGGAACTTTGTCATTGACTTCAACAAGTATAACTTTAGCGCCCTCGTGGCCAAGATGGAGTCTGCTCTGCAAGCAGCTCTGGCCAAGAGAAGGCGCGCACAGAAATGCAGCAGGAGAAATCCCTTCCACCCCAGGGGCACCTGTTCCAACCCCCCAGAGTCAACACACACACCCACAGGAAAAGTACAATGGATATAACAAGGGAAATATTTATTTACAGAGGGATGAGAGGAGAAAAACAACAAGGGGAAATATAGGGGGAGCAGCAGAACAGGGTTGCATCCAAGCCAAGGCCCCATGGGCCCAGTGTTAGCACAGTCTGGAAGGGCAGACACCGAGCAATGTGTCTGCACACAGAGTTCAGGAGTCCTGAGCAAAGTTCCAGTCCAGTGGTGAGTCTTAGGTGCTCCTGGTCGTCTTCGGCGCCAGTGAACTTTCCCCCAACGAACCCCTCCGGTGCCCTCTTCTGCCGCTCTCTGCAAAGCCACACCGAGCGACCACCTCCCCACTTAACTAGCTACAGCCTCCCTCCTTGTTCCCAATGCAGAGTCCCAAGCTCCAGTACTCACAGCCCCATGAGCTCTGGGCAGCCGTGATACTGGGTCCAGCTCCGGCCTGTCCTTCTCGGGCGATTCCTCCCTGGCACAGTGCTCCTCCTGACTCCTGTCCTGGGGTGGCCCTGATTAGCCCTGTCCTTCCCAGGCTTCAGGCAGGTTCTCTCTCCTTCACTTTTCCAGGGCCTCAGGCTGCCTCTCCCTCTCCTTGGAGCTCCAGCGCTGCCCCCTGGAGTTTCCCTCCTTTTTTTCTTACTCTCCCCCTCCTCCTTAGGAAAAAGCTTTAAAGGGGCCATGCTCTCTAAACCCCAAAGGGGTTACACAAGTATATGATCAAGCCCTTAAAAACGCAACCTGTGTTTCTCCTTTTTATGATGTGCTTCTAGCAGAATAAAAGTAGAACAACGATTCTGGAAGGCAAATACTGATATACACAGGCACACATCCATATTTTAGTTTACTTTACTGCAATTAAAAATTCTTTGTAGCAGTGGTTATTCGAGATTAAAAATATAAATCCAGACAAAAACTTCTGCTTGCTGGGGCAGAGGGGAAGAAGAATTCCTTTCATCACCAGCATCTGAGAAAGAAGGAATGGATTTCAAAGACTGTCTGAGTCTAATAGAGAACTGGTAGCCTCAGTACTGACACTCAAAGGAGGGGGGTGGAAAAGAGGGGAATGTGCGAAGGTTCATAAGGATGCAGAGGACCCTCTCAGGAGAATATACATTTCTTACTACAGCAAAGTTTTAGTAAGTGCTGACAAAGTAAGGCATGAATTAAACATTGCATGATACTAGATAGCAGAGCTAAAAGCCTAACTTTCTCCTTGAGGTATGAAGTGCAGGTGTTAGGGTCAGATCCTGTGTAATGGGACCAAACTGCACAGTGTGCGAGCCAGGGATGGATGTGTGAGAGTGGCTTAAAGCTTATCTTTGCACTGCCCTAATTCTGCTGCTACTCTGTGCAGGTCAGTTCCCCTACACTAGGTTAGAGGGCGCTATATTTGTTCACGCAGAGCACAGTACAAAGAGGCTTCAGCTTGCCAAAGAAAGTTTTGCCAGGGCATAACTTACCAGTATAAACAAATGTCATTTATCCTGGCCTATTCATAAGCTTATGGTTTTACCTTCTTAAGTTTCTTGTATGCCAAATGTGTGTGTCCTTGTGCCAGTTCTGTTCCTCCTCGGAGCCAGTATGTCTCTGCTACTTCCGGGCTGAGATCCCCACATAGGGATATTTTAGCTTCTAACGATCCTTTCAGCACTATTGCTGCTCTCTGTGAAAGGAAAAATGGCCAAAAAAAATTAAAAACAGGTCAAGGAAGGAGAACAACATCAGCTGCTATAAGATATAAGATAACTTCTGTTTGTTGTTATATAACAATGAAAATCACTTCTCTTTATTACAGTTACAAACAACAAACACACTCTGAGTGTGGTCTATTATCTGAGCCAAGTTTTCTTTAGTTAAATGTGAGACAGGAAATAACAGGCACCAAAAAACTGTGTGTGCAAAATGAGAACTTCAGATGGTGAAATTCTGGGTTCATTTTCAAAAAGAAATTGGTGAAAAGAAAGAACGGACTCTTTAGTGTCTTACTAGTGTAACTAATGAAATTATTTTCGTTTTTTTAGGTCAAGGATTTTCTCTTTCTCTGCCCATCATATATTAATAGTGCCTGATTCAGAGTCCATTAAATTCAGTGCAAAGCGTCCCATTGTTTTCAATGGGCTTTAAATTACTGTACTGGCGATCCCTAAATATAGACAAAAGGATATTACAAAAGTATTTGTGAATGTCTTTGTGCATAAAACCTGCTGATATTTGCAAGCTTTTCTATCAAAAAGTGTAGTTGACAGAAATTTTATTCACAACAACATTTGCCGGAAACAAGCATGTTGGGAATACTACTTAGATTAGGGACCTCTTTTCTGTTTGTGTACAGCGCTTAGCACAATGGGATGCTAGTCTATAACTCCTGGGTGCTACTGTTATACAAAAAATAAATAATAGTAGTGCAAATACTAGTGAGATTACCTGTTTCAGAAGTACTCTCCCAGACAATTTGAAGATCTGTTTTTACTTGCATAATAGATTCAAACAATTATGAATATTGGTATATAAGGTACATACAGAAAAAGGGAGTTCTATTTCTAAAAGCTCAGACCATCCAATCAGGAAACAAACGATATCATGTGCCTGAGGTGACCAATCACTTTCCATTCATGCTATATATAGCACATAGTGAATGATCACAGAGATCAAGATGAAAACAAACGATTTATAAAAAAGGCAAATAACATAATCCTAAAAATCATGAGCTATTTATAATAATTCCCAAATGGAAAAAACCCTAATTATTCTAAACAAAAAATATTAATTACTTATTTAGTCTCCTCTTTCTTCGCCATCATTTCTGTGGAAAGGTTCTAGCAAAAAATATACACTCCCCCCACTACTTATAAAGTGTGTCAATGGATAAAGACAGAGTGATCTTCCAAAATTCCTTACCTCCTGCTGTCCAGTGGCTATAAGAAACTGACAGAAATCATCCACAGCTCCAAGGCATTTAGCACTCTCCATCCCTTCAGCTTCTTTAAAAGCATTTATGCTCTCTTGAAAATACTTCTCAGCCAGATCTAAATAAATTTAACATATACTTGAAACTGGAGGTCATTAACCTATATTACTCTCTCAGGGCCAGATTGCAGAGCCCTCAAGCCATGCTGAGAAATTTACTGATGCAAATAGCCTAAGAACAGAAGAACGGCCATATTGAGTCAGCTCAATGGTCCATCTAGCCCAGGGGTCGGCAACCTTTCAGAAGTGCTGTGCCGAGTCTTCATTTATTCACTCTCATTTAAGGTTTCTCATGCCAGTAATGCATTTTAACGTTTTTAGAAGGTCTCTTTCTATAAGTCTATAATATATAACTAAACTATTGTTGTATGTAAAGTAAATAAGGTTAGACTCAAGAGCTGGTCTAAATTTTTCAAAATCTGATTTTTCATCAAAATTTTCAGTCAAAAATTTCACAACAGATATTTCAATGTTTTCAACCAGCGCTATTAGAAATCTAAATGAAATATGATGCAGATGTTTAGAAGAGTAAAATATGGAGCAACTGCCTAGATTTAAAACTGTAAATGATTGTTCTATATTGAGCAACAGGGAATGGATCACTTGATGATTACCTGTTCTGTTCATTCCCTCTGGGGCACCTGGCATTGGCCACTGTCGGAAGACAGGATACTGGTCTGACCCAGTATGGCCATTCTTATTAGCTGTGCAAAAAAGGCTTTTCAGTTTTAACAATAATAAATAATGAGTGTTATACCAGAGGTAAGGAACTCTTCATTTTAAGTAAATGATTTCTAAGTATTGCTTTAATTTCCTACTTTTGTTAGTTTGTATGATAACTTCTATGACAACTGAAGCACAATTACTTGTACAAACATAAATATTTTTAAAGGTGCTCATGAAATTTCCTTTTGGATTTCCATTAGAAAAATACGTTTGCTGCTCATTTATTATTTCTGCCTAGGAACATTACTTTAAAAGGGCCTTTGTGCAAGAAAGAAGAGCGGAAGTGATTTATTTGTAGGGGGAAAGCCAGAGAAATTCTCCCTCCCTAAATTATCTGTTCCTTGGCTCTAAATGCACAATAACTGTCCAGTTAGAGAATACATTTGTATTTTTTCACTTCTGGTTTCTATGGGCCTGATCCCTTGTGTCACTGGAAATTTTGCCTGTATCAGGACGTTAGGATTGGGTCCTCTGCTTTTATGTGCTATGTTACAACATCTACTTCAACAAACACATGTGGCTTTTCCCTCCCCAGTCTAAGAATTTCACAAAAGTACTTAGACATACAAGGACACATTTTGGAGGGATGGCTGAAGAAAGGGCTGTAAGCGTGTCTCTTCTTTGCACATAAAGTACCATATGAACTGACACAAATCCGGAATCTGTGCACGTCTGACAGCTTGCACCTATTCTCTTACTAAGAATGAGGCCAATCAATATGGAATTTGGTCTAAATTCATCATTGGACAATAGAATTGTAGTGAATGCCAGATGTCCTGTTACTAACATTAAAATCTGTTCTTGATTCATCAGTTATCTGATATCTAGTCTTTCATAGGGCACTGGCTCACTTTCTTAACCTCTGGCATTTGGACCAGTCTGTAATTGGCATCCTGAGTAGCAGCTATTTTAATATCACTCCTATAGTCATTAGTTATTACAAGGTTAATTTAAGGAGTTCAGCCTCTCTGCCCTCCTCCCATTTTGTTCAGGAGGTATGCAAAAGGAAGGGAAGTGCAACTCATGCAGTTCACTGTGACTACAACTGCAACACACTGTAAACAGCAACACTGTTCAATAAGCTAGTTGATACATGGTTATGAGGTTTAGGGCTTGTCTACACTGTGCCACAGTGCAAACCATGGGTGTGTGAACTGCAGAGCGCAACAAGAAGTTGCACTCTAACTGCCCCAGGTGGACCCTGTTGGTGCAAACTAAAAGATATCTAGTCCATGTTAACATAGTCCTGTTTGAAAGAGGACTACATTTAGTTTAGTTTAGTGCTGCAACATGGCACAATCACCACATTCAGGTCTGTTTCCCAAGGCTGTTTCATTCAGGACCTGTATCTGTTGTGTATTCCCACAGCTGTTCTAAAGCAGTGGTTCTCAAAGCCGGTCCGCCACTTGTTCAGAGAAAGACCCTGGCGGGCCGGGCCAGTTTGTTTACCTGCCGTGTCCGCAGGTTCCGCCTATCGCAGCTCCCACTGGCCGCGGTTCGCCGCTCCAGGGCAATGGGGGCTGTGGGAAGTGGCGCGGGCCGAGGGTTACATATGTGAACCTACCACAAAGTAAATTCACAAAAAAAGGGCAATGAACACTTCATGAATAAAGTATGTGCAGGCTATTCCACTTTGTGACCTATTTAGTTGGGAGTCGTTTATCAACACATGATAAAATAGAGATGTTCTTTCACTGATGTTGTTTGGCAATAGGGTCAGTTACAAACTGGGGAAAGTCTAAATTTAAATATATGTTAAATTTTACACAGCATGTAATCTGGGGCTGTAAAATCCCATCTCTGTCACTGACTCACTGTGTAGCAATGGGCAAATAACTGAACTGCTCTGCCTTCAATTTCACTAACTGAGGCTACCGGCCTCACACCGTCCTCGGGGACCTCTTAATGGTTTCACGTCCTCTTGAACTCTCTCTTCAAAGTTCTTTTCAACTTTCCCTTACGGTACTTGTTGACTATCCGTCTCGTGCCAGTATTTAGCCTTAGATGGAGTTTACCACCAGCTTTGGGCTGCATTCCCAAGCAACCCGACTCCAAGAAGACCCAGTCCCGGTGTGAAACCATTAAGAGGTGCCCGTGGATGGTGTGAGGCCGGTAGCGGCCCCCAGCACGCCGGGAGTGGGTCTTCTTGGAGTCTGGTTGCTTGGAAATGCAACCTAAAGCTAGTGGTAAACTCCAACTAAGGCTAAATACTGGCACGAGAGTGTTTATGAAGTGCTTTTTGATTCTTGGAGGAAAAGTGCTATATAAGTGCAATGCATCAGCATTAGATTAATTATAAATGTGTATAAATTTATATCATATTTTGTTAAAGACATAATTTATACCATACTAAGTGGAAAGTACGGCCATACCTAAGCAGAGCACCTTTGATATATTATAGATCTACATACGTTTAAAATCTGAAAGCGTACAATAAATAGAACCTATCCTGAAGTAATACTTAGTGTGACTCAAATCTGCAGATACGTTTTTGTGATGTTAGCTTTTTACTAAACTGTGGCAACTGCATGCTTGGAAGGAATGGCATAGTTAAAGAAAAGTCTCTCTGCCTCATGTCTGCAGTGATGCGCAGACTCTATAGCCAAATACTCTTTAAAGAACACAGCCTGGAAGGGACTCAAGCATTGCAAAGTGAAGAGGGAAACAATTCCAAACAAGGCTGCCTGTGTGCAGCTCTGTTTTTGCTATCAGCCTTTGAAGGTTTACATTGAAGTACACTTTGTCCCAAAAGCTATTTTATTTGAATATCATTTATGGAAAAAGCTATAAACAAAACGCAAATATCTTGAATGCCTTTCAGTGCTGGGGAGAAGTGTTAGTATAAAGTTTGACACTGGTTGCACTGGCAGGCTAGCCAGGTTAGTATCACTGTGCAGGCCAATAGAGTGGAAACGAATTGAAGTGGGCACTGAGCAATTTTTTCCCTCCCTAGACTCTGTACATAGATGGGGTGTTCTGAGGAAACAGGCTTAAAATTCCTATTATGTAGCTGTTCCTTTGATAGGTTCTTCTTATATGAAGCAGGTGACTTCAAAAAGCATGTACCCAGTAGAGGATGTAAAATTTGAAATGATATTTTATCTGCCATGGAATTATAAAAGTAAACTATAGTCCACAGGCTCTGGCAAGTTTTCTATTTTATTTTATTTGAGTTTTATTTTCTTAGAGTATTTTAGAACAAAAATATAAAGTGTCATAGTGATGTAGGTGAGGGCTGAGATAAATGACCTCACAATGGGCATCCATGCCTTTGTCACAGCCAAGCTAGACAGCCACCATATGAAATTGTTAGGCTATTCTTGAAAAACAGCTGGAAGTTTCAGCTAAGAAAGATGGCGCCTTCTGAGTGAGAGGAGTTATTAGTCCACCTATGCTCAAGTACGCATTGGCAACTCGATTGCTTTTGGGTGCAATTCAAAATTTTAATTACAATCTTGAAAGTCTTCAATGGTCTGGGACCTGTGAGATCACCTCTCCATATTCCATCACATTAATTTAGATCAGCCAGAGCATTCTGATTGCTAGATCTTATAACTGATTTTTTTTTATGACTGTCAGCAAAACTCTCTCAGCACAGGGCTCTCACCTTTGGAAGTGGTTGTTCGCCAGAACTCAGGACCCGTGAGCTTCAGGGCATGATCTAAAGCACATTTATCTGTTCAGTATTTGGTTATTTTCTCCCCCTTTCCTCACTCTGCCTAAGAATAAAAGGGTAATCTGGCTGAAACAAGAACAGTCGCTTTTGTTACTCTTTTTTTCATTCATATTTGTAAACAGTTCCAAGAAGTTAAGGCACTTAAGAAATCTTTACATGGATAATTTCATAATTCTATTTTGCTCAGAGAAGGGTTGACTAGTAATTTGTAGCTAGAATTTTTTTTAATCATAAAATGTTGGTAGCTTAACCAACTTTTGGATTCCATGCCCACATTCAAAGCAGCAACTTGAACATGTCTGGTGGTGTCCCTCCTCCCTAGAGATTAAAGGGCCACAATTAAAAGGCAGCTGTAAAGTACACCTGGGAAATAACCCCACCACGGGAGCCTCCTCAGAGCTGAGGGCACGCTGGAGCAGAATGAAGGTAGGCGGGGGCATGCCCCAGATATTGAAGATATGGCACAAGTTAAGCCAGCCTTCAGGCATGTCCAAACTTGAGTTGGGGACAGAATCAGCCCGGCAGTCCCAGGAGAGAAGTACTGCTGCCCCCTCAGTTCTGGCACTAGGCTTAGCCCTGATGCAGGGAAGAATGAAGGCCACGGGGCTGAAAGAGCTCTTTTCTTTGCTCTGTATAATGAAAAATATTTCAACTTTTAATGACAACACTGTCATAGTTTCTTACTCAGTTTTACAAGCAAGAAATTAAAAAATTAAAAATTGAACAAGAAATGTGCAGAAAAACACAAAAAAGGAAATGTCTCAAAGGCTGCAAGACTTGATGGGGCATGCAAGTATTCAAATTTGGTTAGTGCGTAAACCAGGATGAGACTGCAGGAATTTGCTTTCCCCATGAGGAATATACATTCCTGCCTCTTTAATTTCTTTGTGATTTAAAATAATAGCTGAACCTACAGGGGATAATTGGTGTCTTCAACTAAGGGTTGAGGTAGATCATTCCAAGGGAATTGCAAACAGATTAAATCCTGTTGATTCAGGGTCATGAGGAAGCACTGAACGTATTCCTAATGCCCATTATATGGGCTGGGATAGCTGACAACTGCTGGAAAGAGTTTTTTGTTCTTCCTATTTGTTTTCCTTTTATAAACCTGCCATCCCGAAGTCTTGCATGGCTTTTCTCATTCTGGTCACCTGAAATAGCCTTTTAAAATATGCATGAGAATACTTACCGGCAACACTTTATAAACCATTAAAAAACTGAGCATAAGTAATTTTATTTCAAAATATATTCTCCCCACACATTGTATGTAACTGATCTGCTTGAAATGGATAGTCAGTGTATGGCTTAGAGTAGGGGCCCTATCTGTTACTCTGAGCCAGTTTTAGTCGTTCAGGCTCCATCAGAAATCTTATAAAGGTATTTTCTATAAATTGCAAGGTCCTGGTTCTCTCTGGCCATTTCTAAACCTTCAGTACATCTCCTTGCTTTCACTTCACAATAACTGAACAATAGACTTCTGTTCCCATGTTCTAAATCAGGGGTTGGCAACGTTTGGCACGCAGCTCGCCAGGGTAAGCACCCTGGCGGGCCGGGCCAGTTTTATTTACCTGCTGACGCGGCAGGTTCGGCCGATCGCGGCCCCCCACTGGCCGCGGTTCGCCGTCCCGGGCCAATGGGGGCGGCAAGAAGCGGCGCGGGCGAGGGATGAGCTGGCCATGGCTTTCCGCCGCCCCCACTGGCCCCAGGACGGCGAACCGCAGCCAGTGGGGGCTGCGATCGGCCGAACCTGCC